GCTTCTTCCTGCTTTCCCTTTCGCCTCCCTGCATTGTGCCTACATATGCAAATTAACCACCATCTTTGTTGTCAGTTAACTGCCATCTGAGTTGGCAGTTAATTTGCATATAGCCCTGATTAGCCAATGAAAAGGGTAGCGTCATACGCCAATTACCATTTTTCTCTTTTATTAGTGTAGATGGGACCACATTTGTATATGTAGTCCATTATGTGGTGCATGACTGGGCACTAGAAAAGCAGAGGCAGGCAGATAGATTTCCTTTTTCTCGGGTTTTCTGTGCAAAGCAATACATCAGTAAAATTTTGTAAAACTGATTGCCTTGGAAAAACATGGAAGGGCATACAACTATTACAATTTGGTGTTCTTTTTGGTGCTCATCTTGCCATTTTGTAAGCAGCTCTTGCATCTGGCCCTATGCAATCATTGCACACATTGACAAGTTGTGCTCTGCTACAAGGTAGTCCATAGGATGTAGTCAGAAGCCAGGCTCAATGTAGGAACAGGACTGCATGCTCCCGTGAAGAAACAGACCTCCCTGACTCAGAGAGCAAGATGAAACCTCTGGCTGTCACCAGGTATGGCTTCCAATTTGAGGTCTCCCACTGTCAGCACCGACACGCTGGATTTTATTTTTTCCACTATAAGCTGCCCTGCTCCCCAACTCCCAGGTCCACTGGCTCTGCTACTACTGGTCCCTTACTCATCCTTTCCTCTACCCAACTATCTCCTCCTCTAGGAGGAGCCCTAAAACGGAGCAACTCACCACTTTTTCCCCCCAATATAACAAATACTTTTAAATCTAGAAATGAAAATCATAATAGAATCTATTTACCCATATAATGTCAAAAAAAATCAATATAATTCTATAACTATAAGATAAGAAATAAATAAAAGGAAGATACATATAACAAAAGAATATCTATTTCCACAAAAGTGCTCAGGCACAATCACATTGATGAAGCTGTCAAACTTTTGCAACTAAAGGTAGAATCAATGTGGCCACAATGGGGCCTGATACAGCATTCTTATGGGTATTATTAGCAACTTAAATGCCACAGGCAGTGCTGCTGTCAGTGATGTGATTTTCTAGAATGGGGAACAGCTCATGCTAAAGCTCCCAACAAAACAGTGCAAGCTTTCCTCAGTTCACATAGTAGTCTCATTTCTGGAAAATATAATGTATGTGAAACTATGCAGAAAATAGTCTGGGTTTACATATACGGTAAAACAAAATTAGGTTCTAGGATCAGATAATTTTTAAGAGTGAGCTTTTAAAAAACTACATGAATGTCTAGGGCATTCAAAAGGTGAATTCAAATTCAAGAAACTTTCTTTCTTGTGCAGAATTATCCTGGAGTTGACCTCGTGCTCTCTGGGGAAAGCTTAACCAAAGACACATGTCCCTGTAGACAGGCACCGTAAGCTGCACCTGTGGCAGCCGTCCAGCTTCGGGTATACAGTGGACCCTTGTACAACACAGATTTGAACTGTGAGGGTCCACTCACCTGTATGTAGTTTTTTTCAATAAATACTTTTAGTACTGCAAATGTATTTTCTCTTCCTTATGATTTTCTTAATATTTTCCTTTTTCTAGCTTACTTTATTGTACGAATATAGTATGTAATACAGATAACATACAAAATATATCTTAGCCCAGCCAGTGTGGCTCAATGGTTGAGCATCGACCTATGAACCAGGTGGTCCCGGGTTCAATTCAGGTCAGGGCACATGCTTGGGTTTCGGGCTGGATCCCCAGTAAGGGGCATGCAGGAGGCAGACAATCAGTGATTCTCTCTCATCATTGATGTTTCTATCTCTCTCTCCTTTTCCCTTCCTTTCTGAAATCAATAAAAACAAATAAAAACAAAAAACCCCAAAATATATCTTGGGTTTATATTATC